ATTAAGACGGTTAAACTGACACTAAAGGCTGGTTTATACTTCATACTGGTCCAGTGCAGCCTTCGTGTGTATATACACACAAAACAAGGATTAAGATGATCGATTGATAGATCGATTGACTGATTGATCAACTGACTGATTGATTGATTGATTGATTGATTGATTGATTGATTGATTGATTGATTGATTGATTGATTGACTGATTGTTCTGTGTATCTGTGTAAGGTACGGTCAGCTGAGTGGGATGGTGGAGCCTCTGGCGGGACTCCTGGGGGCCGTGGCGGTGGTTCTGGCGGAACCTCTGTTGCCGTACGCTCTGGCCTTCGCTGCAGGAGCAATGGTGTATGTGGTGCTGGATGACATTATTCCTGAAGCCCAGATCAGGTGAGCACGCAACAGACACACACACACACACACACACACACACAGAGTTTGTGCATGTCATAAAGAAAAACATAGTGATTAATTACTGTAATTAAATCATTCATTAATTCATTCGTTTATTTTTTGGCTTAGTCCCTTTATTAATCAGGGTTCGCCACCGCGGAAAAAACCACCAACTTATCCAGCATATGTTTTACGCAGCGGATGCCCTTCCAGCTGCAACCCATTACTGGGAAACACCCATACACACACTGCGGACAATTAAGCTTACCCAATTCACCTACACCACATGTGTTTGGACTGTAAAAACCCACACCAACACAGGGAGAACATGCAAACTCCACACAGAAATGCCAACTGACCCAGCGGAGGCTCGAACCAGCTTCTTGCTGTGAGGCGACAGCACGACCCACTGCGCCGCCGCACTGCCTTATAAAAGCTTCCGCTGGAGATGTGGTTAATCTGGCAACCTGCACTTGCATGTGTTTTGAACCAGGCGTGCAATACCTTGGTAAACCACTGGGTGTCAAACTTACACACTGCACCTTTAAATTAGCTTGAATTAATTTTCCGACAACGTAATTTAAACACAAGTGTAATGATTTAATTAGTTGATACTAATTAGTTACTTTTTAAAGTAATTTACCCTAACTTTCTCTCACTCTCTCTCTCTCTCTCTCTCTATTTGTGTGTGTGTGTGTGTGTGTGTGTGTGTGTGTGTGTGTGTGTGTGTGTGTGTGTGTGTGAGAGACAGTGGAAACGGGAAACTGGCCTCCTGGACGGCCATCCTGGGTTTTGTGGTGATGATGTCACTGGATGTGGGGCTGGGCTGAGGCCTCTGATTGGTCCTGGAATGTCAGCTGACTGCACTGAAAATAGTCACCAAAGCCGCCTTGTTTTGTCAGTGTGTAGGTTTGTTAATCAACGGGCTCTTTTTCTACATGCTTTTATTTGTTTTATAAATGATCATGAGTGGATCATGAGTGATTAGTCGAGGTGAAAAGACTGACCACAAAATACTTGAATAATTATCCACACTTGAATGACTATAGGTGCGGTGCGCGTGTGTGTGCGTGGGTGTGCGTGCGTGCGTGCGTGTGCGTGTGTGTGTGCACGTGCATTTTTTGATTGTGTTAAAATGTTTGGTGTGTGTGTATGTTTTTTTTAGGGGGTGTGTGTTTGTGTGTATGTGCATGTGTTTATTTGTGTTTGTGTGTGTGTGTGCGTGCATTTTTTGGGTGTATGCCAACATGCATGTATGCTCATATGTTTGTGTGCATGTGTGTGTCCGTGTCCATATGCTTGTGTGTGTGCGCGTCTGTGCATGTGCGTGCATTTTTTGTTTGTGTGTTTACATTTTGTGTGTGTGTGCGTGCATGTGGATGTGTTTGTGTGTATGTATGTATATGTGTGTGTGTGCGCGCGCGTGTGTGCGTGTGTGTGTGCGTGTGTG